CAACATGCTAGGCGGCGACGCTGGTGGTGGATCGATCTACTGTCCACCTCAGACTGTTTTACTTACGTCAGGTCCCAGTTATTTTCCGTTTTCATTTTAACAGTTTCGCCTTCTTTTACTATGTTCTGTTATCCCAATCCATCCCTTCCGTTATAATTATTATTGTGCATGGTTAATGGTTGTAAAAACTAAACTGAACTGTTATTGTTATTATTGTTGTGACGTTGGCACCACTCTTATCCGCAAGCCGGTGTTAGATATATATTTCATAATAAGTAGCATGTGACTGGAGGAGTTTCCCTGAAAGTACACGACCGGTTTTCCGGTTCTTGATTCGTCAGGCATGCGTGTCCGGTAATCTTTTGTCAGTTCATTCATATACTTGTACCCAGGAAGTGTATTTTCGTCCCAATAACATTGTGTTGCGACATCAGGTGACTTTTGATTAGACAGCTCTTTCAGGGCCAGTCCATTGAACCATGACATTGATTCTTCAGTGGACTGGCCCTGAAAGAGCTGTCTATTCAAAAGTCACCCGGTGTTGTTGTGACGTATATATATATATATATATATATATATATGAGGGGAGTGCTTATTAAGATGTAATATGGAATCTACTTTCCAAAGTATAAACCAACGCAGTTGTTACATAATTGTTTTTATTGTTTATGTAGAATTCGAGAAGGTGTACGAGAGACTCAATGTGGAGAACTTAGTCGAACGCGGCGAGTCCTTTTATCAATCGCGAATGCATGACTTGGTGAAGGAATTAGAAGAGCAACAATTTCTCACCTTAGACGAAGGTCGCAAGTTGATGTGGCCCCCAGGCGCTGATATTCCCTTGACCATTGTCAAATCTGATGGCGGTTTTACTTATGATACGTCTGACCTAACTGCTTTATCGCAACGACTTCAAGAAGAGAAAGCTGATTGGGTACTCTATGTGGTTGATGTAGGTCAGGTGAGTTAGTTATTTTTAAAAAGTATATTCACCATATATGATGATCATGTCTTTAAACGCATTTTACCTCTATTCTTCTGAATTAATTTTTATTTCATTACAGAAATTTGTGTGATAAGCAACAGCAGGGGTAAACCTCGTAGTCACGAGGAGTTACTGTCCAAGCATGATAATCGGTAACCTTAGCCCTAAGACTTGGCGTGGCCCACCACGATAGAACTCACGAAGAAAAGCAGAGCATTGAATCTAAAAACAACGAAGCAGCTTACCACCAAAGTTGTGTAGCGGTAGCAAGGTTCAAACCCCTAACTTTAGGGTCCAAATCACTCCAGTTACAGCAAACAAACCTGAGTTTGTTGGCCGATAAAGTGAGTTCCACACATTTTGATCAATACACAAACCCGTATATACATGTGATTGAAATGTTTTCCCGCGCTCTAGGCGTTGGCCTTTGACTCTGTATCTCGGGGGGTATCATTGTTCAGCCAGAAAGTTCGCAGTTTAAGTCCCGATAGGGACACTAAACCTACTCACTGAGGACAAGTCCTGGCAATCAAGAAAACTTCTCGGTGCTGTTTGTCAGCGGTCGCATAAAAAATGAGTAAGAGTGAGAACGAAATCCAAAGATCTATACACAAACACGGATGTTTTAGAGTTGGTATAGATTTGTGAGACAGTTATAAGTGCACTGTCCCTGTTCGTCCCGCTTTAAGTCTGGTCGTCATCGTTTTGTGTTGACTTATATAAGAAACCTAAATAAGTTTGCGTTTAATGGTTCGGCCAGATTCCCAGCTTGAATTCGTACCTCATTTGCTCGTTGTTTAGACTAGCTCGTAGTCTTTCGTTGATCACGCCTCTGAAAGCCTCGGTATGGTCGGGTTGCGGCCGGTTACCCTTCTCTTGCACCTCGCGAAATGCTCCCATACGACCAAGCGTAGTAAATAGCCTCTGCTGAGGAAGTCTTACTCATTACCATCCCGCGGCGGAGGTATTTCCCCATCGAAGTGAGAGGATGAAAAGCCGATATCCGGGGCTATAACCGGGTTAGTGGATCACTGGTAGTTCACCTAGGGGAGTTGACCAAAGACCCTGATTCCAAACCAACCAAGAGGAGGTGCACGAACTACACACGCCTTCCCAGTTGTGGCACTGATCACCGGCTCAGTTAGGCATCAAGGTGTATTGGACATCTTGGACGTTTAATCCCGTCCTAAGGACGTATGATCCGATGAACTGGACACTGACCCTCAATGAAGTGCGGTTTTCGCACACCGCCCCCTGCCTTGCGGGTCGGGCTTTGGCTAGTCGAAGGCTCCGGTTGTAGATTCCTTCCTTGGCCTGGTCAACCTCGCAGTATTCAGCCTACATGGAATGTTTTTTTTATAAAGTTCATTGTACCATGATTTGTTCGGCACAGTCTTGCGTCAGGCGTATGTGAAATATATATATATATATGTATATATATATATATATATATATATTACTAGTTAGTTGTGGTAGAGGTTTTCACCGAAGTGAGGTTAAGGAACCAGTCTCCGTAGCTGTAATGACGTTGATTAATTACCGCTACCCAGCTCTCTTTGAAATGGCAAACATTGCTTCAAACCCCCCGTAATGAGACATATTAACTAACCCGCAGTTGTTTTTAAACGGTTACTGAATTGACTGCTTAAAGCGGGTTATTGTGCACTCTAGATAGATGAGCCTCGTCCGAGGAGCGTATGGTCCATTACCACGAGACTGCACCTTGACGTGGTGTGATAGCTTGCGTGCCTCCATTACCCTGCGAGCTACACAGGATGGCTTCTCACAACCGTAGATCCAATCATGCCTGAAAGGT